CCGGTTCCTTCCCTCCTCCCCTTCCCTTCAACCAAGACTTACCAGCCAATGGCTTCAGCGGTGGAAACCAGCCAGTGAAGAAGAGTTTCCTGGTATACCGTAATGACTGCAGCCTTCCCCGGAGCAGCTCAGACTCTGAGTCCAGCAGCAGTAGCAGTAGCAGCGCTGCCTCAGACCGGACCAGGTACCAGCCCTCCAGATCAAGGCCAGCCTCAGGGGATGCCCTTCCAGGGCTCTTGGGCCTTTCTAGGTTTCCCTGTTGGAGTGGGGTGACTGCCATCTCAGTCTAGATTAAGATGACTCAAACTCAAGGTTCTCTGTTAAATAAATAAATCAGTGTTACCATTAATGGAACAGAGAGAACCATCCTGGGTTAAGGTGATGATTAGAGTATGCACTCCTGCCGCCACTGCTCAGTCTAACACACCTCAGGTCACCAGCCTAGCCCCTGTGGGTGTTTGAATTTGAAATTCCTCATACAGCCTCTGCTTTCCAAAAGTCTCAGACCCTGGGGGCTTTAAGAGCAGAGGGCACATACCATGCTGTTCCCCATTCTTCCCCTCCTTTGAGCTGAGCTCCCATTGTCTTGTCCACAGCACAACACCTTCAAAACAAGGCCGGGGCAAACCTTCCTTCTCTCGGGGCACTTTCCCAGAGGACAGCAGTGAGGATACCTCAGGCACTGAGAATGAGGCCTACTCCGTGGGCACTGGCCGCGGCGTGGGCCACAGCAGTAAGTTCCCTTGCCCAAGGCCAGGGATGCTGGGGACCCAGTGTCAGGGCCTCGCCAGCCCCCCAGCTGCTGATCCACCCCCTCTCCCCCATTCCTGTGAAGTGGTAAGGAAGAGTCTGGGCCGGGGAGCTGGCTGGCTGTCAGAGGATGAGGACTCCCCGCTGGATGCTCTGGACCTCGTGTGGGCCAAATGCCGAGGGTATCCATCATACCCAGCTCTGGTATGCTCCGCTTCTGTTATTATGCCCCTTGCTTTCCAATCCCAGAATACAGATTCACAGTTAGCAGACTTTTCCTACTCCCTGCTGAGCTATGGGGCACAGTTTCTTGGCAAGGTATACTGGTGGGCAGATACAGCTTGAGTACCACTTAGAGGCTCCTACTCAGTTTCTCCATCTCTCCCTTTTCCTTCTCTTTGCTCCTTGGGCTCTGAAATAATATAGCGTGGAAAGAAGCTGAGGGTCAGCATTGCAGTTCTAGTAGCATGATAACCTTTCTGTCCCCACTTCAGACGTACTCTTTAAGTTCTTGAAGAGGGCAAGCCTTGGGAGGACGTGGACTGAACCAAACTGGGCTCTTATTACACCCTCAGATCATTGATCCAAAGATGCCCCGAGAAGGTATGTTCCACCATGGAGTTCCCATCCCTGTGCCCCCACTGGAGGTGCTGAAACTTGGGGAGCAGATGACCCAGGAAGCCCGAGAGCATCTCTACCTCGTCCTCTTCTTTGACAACAAACGAACCTGGTAAGGAGGGGAGCATTTGGTGTGACTCACAGCCACAGATGCAGCCCTGTGTGGTATGGAGGCAGACTGCCAGGAAACTCCAGCAACAGGCAGACTGGGCTAGCATAAGTCAGTGGGGGAGGGACTTAGAACAGTTTTTTGAGCGAAAGGGTTGTGTCAACCATGTGTCTGAGAGGCTGAGTGGGCACTAGAGGACAAACAGCTGTAGCTAGAAACCAAAGGACCATCAGAGACTATGACAAATATAGAGGTGGCTCCCACCCAGACTCAGATGGCTTCTAGACTTAGTTTTCCCACCTCTGCCTCCATGGTGACAAAATGAGGATAAAGCAGGCATAAACATTCAGGCTCTGAATCCCTCTTCTGTCATATTTGCACATGTAGTCTTTTTGTTAATTGTCTGCAGAGGATATTCAGTGTCAGTGAAGTGTGCCTAGAGCCTATGGCACAGGGTAGCTACTTCTGGTGAGGTCAGGGCGCCTCCTTTTTGTACCCATAAATACCCTGTGATTACCCTCCCGCTGCCACCACACAGTATAACCGTTGACTGGGCTCTTTCATCTCTAGACCATGAGCACTCCTTTGAGGGCAGGGACCATCACAGAGTCTGCCCGGAGTGGGTGCTTGGGCGGTATACTTAAGTGAATAGAGGAGGAAGGCTGGTCCTTACTCTCCCTGAGATGATTTATTTGATCTTCACCTTGTCCTATAGGCAGTGGCTGCCGAGGACCAAGCTGGTTCCTCTGGGTGTGAACCAGGACCTAGACAAGGAGAAGATGCTGGAGGGCCGCAAGTCCAACATCCGCAAGTCAGTACAGATCGCCTACCACAGGGCTCTGCAGCACCGCAGCAAGGTGCAAGGCGAGCAGAGCAGTGAGACCAGCGATAGTGATTGACACTGCTCAACACAGCCCAACCTACACAGGGTCACACAACCCTGTGACCTCTCTCCTCCCCTTTGCTCACTGTCCTGGAGTGGCACCGGCCTCTGCACTGACTCATTTCTGGTCTTGCGGCCAGTCTCAGGGGAAGCTGGGTGGGGGAGGTCCCTCCTGCCCTAAGTGCAGCTGGACTGTACAGAACACTCCAAGGGCCAGTGGCAGTTCAGTGCAAGGAGAGGGAGGGCCCACAGGTCAGAAAGAGCTCCAGAGACCTCACAGCATTGTAGGGCGGGGTGGTGGGCCAAAGTTAGGACACTGCATAAAACAGGCCATCCCACCACCTCTACCTGCTCATGCCAGGAGAATCTATAACTGCCTAGAGGCCTGAGGCCCCTACCGGTGGTGAGGTGAGCGGGCATCTGTCCAGCCTGGAAGAGGGGCACTAGGTGACTCCCTCCCCTGCTGTTGTAAATAACTGTAATTATCGGAGAATTTAAATTATTCTCATTTGTAACTGCGTTTCCGGGTCGCGCCAGAGTCATTTGGTACTTAAAAAAAAAAAAAAAAAAGACTGGGGCCTGTCCCCATTTCCCTTCTCTTTCCCATAGATTCCCCTACCTTTCAAACTGGTTTGTATTTATTTCAAAGGAAGAAAATATATTGATTCTTAGAAAATAAACTGTCTTTTTAGAATTCTTTGTTCTTACCCCCTGCCAGGGCAAAGGGGATACAAAGGGAGGTTCTGTGCCCCAGGGATGACACATAATTGGGCCCAAGTGGTTGCTGACTGCTGTGCATGCTACATTTATAAGACATAGCAGAAAGAGCCCCCGTTACCCATGCATGGAGTGAGTGGCAGGCCCTGTGCTAAGCACCTTTAGACACTCAGCTTTGCGTAATCCTTGCAATAACTATAGGGAGTTTAATAATAGGCTGGTTATCTCCACAAAGATGCTGAGGTTTCAAAAAATTATCTTGCCTACAGTTCCTACAGTTCCTAGTTCCTACAACTAGGAAGGTACAGAGCTAGAATTGGAACCCAGGTCTGTTTGCAAAGCTGGCTCTTCAACCAGTATGCTGAACTGCCAGGGGAAGAGTCAACTGTTGATTCCTTCTTGGCCCTCAGAGGCCTCAAGTCCTTTGCCAGTGGCATGGCCCAAGTGTTTCAGCATCACTGCAGCTGAGACCTTCCCCACTGCTTAACTGGAGACAGAGCAGGGATGGAGAGGGTTGCTCTTTGCTCACTCCCAACTTTGGCACCTTCATTCCAGACTCTACCGACATTTATTGAAGGAATGCCTTCCAAGTGCTAGGCGCCTGTGGGGTGGCATGCCTACAGATAGGAACAGTCACAGGAAAAAGGGGCGGCCCAAACCTTGCAGCCACTGAGGAGTGGCACTGAGACAATGATGGCATTGGTCTGATGTTGATTCCATGCTCACGGTACACTCTGCTAGGTCTCTGGCTGAGATATAAGGGTCAATCCGCTGCAGATGTTGCTCTTTAAGAACTTGCAATCTGGGCAGGGTGCAGTGGCTCACGCCTGTAATCCCAGCACTTCAAGAGGCCGAGGCGGCTGGATCACAAGGTCAAGAGATCGAGACCATCCTGGCCAAGATGTGAAATCCCGTCTCTACTAAAAATACAAAAATGAGCTGGGCGTGGTGGTGCACGCCTGTAGTCCCAGCAACTTGGGAGGCTGAAGCAGGAGAATCGCTTGAACCCGGGAGGCGGAGGTTGCAGTGAGCCCAGATTGCACCATCACACTCCAGCCCGGGCGACAGGGTGAGACTCCGTCTCAAAAAAAAAAAACCTGCAGCCTGATAGTTAAGATACAGCAACCCCAAATCCCTATGCTAGAAGGTGAGAATGGCCCAGTAAAATTCATATCTCTTAGCTCCCTGCTTTTTCTCGTCATTCGCCAGAAGGGAAAACATTACATAATCCATCCTCCTGCTCCAGGCGGCTGGACGAGGCTGGCTGCCTCAGGGCCACACACTGGGACTTGGACTCAACCTGATGAGCTTCTGGGCCCAGCCCCAGACAAACCCCCGGCACAGGCCCCATTCTGATGAAAGCATGAGCAGATGGAGTATGGAAGGAATGAATGCCCAAGACTGCAGGCAGCAGCTGTGGCGGCCGGCGGGACAATCCGAGGAGACGCCTCTGAAGTCCTGAGGTCTCAGAGGACGCCTAAAGGTCTTGAAGGGGACAAACTTAGCGGGCGGGCGCAAAAGAGAATACTCTGGAGACACTTCCCGAGGGCTCTAGGGCCTGAGCTGTGCTCGCTCCAGTTCTTGGTGAAGATAGGGTTCGTGGGAGGCGGCCCAAGGAGGGCGAACGCCTAAGACTGGAGAGGCTCAGGGGAGAACGGCTCTCGGAGGACAGGCTGGGAAAGGACGTGGCCCTGAAGACGGACAGCCCTGAGGAACCGCGGGGCGCCCGGATGGAACTCGTTAACTCCCCGAGTGCAGACAATCCCGGGGCGGGGAAAGGCCAACAGCGGGCAGACAGCCCAGTGCGCGCCAACCGCGCGGGCGCCTCGGAACGGCCCGCCCACCCTGATTTCTCATTGGCGCCTCCCACCTCCTCCTCGGATTGGCTACCTCTAGGTCAAATACGCAGAGCTTGAGCACTACTTCCGGTGGTGGCGTGGTCGGCCACTGGAGAACTCAGAAGAACACAGCTGTGCGCGCCCAGAGGCTCTGGGGGAGGGAGAGGATAAGTCGGAAGGAGGGGGCGGGACCTACACCTCAGGAAAGCCGGAGGATTGGGGCATGAAGCGGGGCTTTGATGACCCGCAAAGGGCGAGGCATGCAGGAGGTGGAGGAATTCAGTGAAACGAGGAAGGTCGTTTATCAGGACCCTGTGGGCTAGGCCTTAAGGGGCGTGGTCCTTGTCTGGGCGGGGTCTTTGGGCGCCGACTAGGCCTGGTTCTGGGTGGGCGGGGCTGCTGTGGGCGGCTCCTGCTGTGGAAATGCCGGCCCGCGCGCTTCTGCCCAGGCGCATGGGGCATCGTACTCTAGCCTCCGCTCCTGCCCTGTGGGCCTCTATCCCGTGCCCTCGCTCTGAGCTGCGCCTGGACCTGGTTCTGCCTTCTGGACAGTCCTTCCGGTGAGTGACTGCGCCTGGGAAGCCCGTCCCCTGGGACTGGCTCCTGCCGCCTCAGCACTGCCCGGCATGGGGTACAAAGGAATTTGCGGGGTGATGGAAGAAACCCCGGGGTACAAAAGAGGAAACAAGCACGGGTGGCCAGGCTGTTCCCTTTAATATGTCTGTGCAGTGATATCGTAAGGATTTAGCGGTATAACCGATGCAGAAGATAATAGTACTTGTTTTTCTTTTTTTGAGACAGTGTCTCACTCTATTGCTCAGGTAGGAATGCAGAGGCCCATTCCAGCCTCGACCCCCAGGCGCAGCCTCCCGAGTAGCTGGGAATACAGGTGTGTGCCATGCCCGGCTAAATTTTTGTATTTTTTGTAGAGGTGAGGTTTCACCATGTTGCCCAGACTGGAAGATAGCACTTTTTTACTTGTATCAGTTTTGTACATGGAGCGATAGTAGGATGGGAGGGACCCCAAAGGGTGCAAGAAAGGAAATTGAGTGCCAGGGTTGTCGTGTGCCTGGGGCTTAGGTGGAGGGAGCAAAGTCCTGCACACTGGAGTGGTGTACTAGCGGATCAAGTATGGACACTGACTCAGACTGAGGAGCAGCTCCACTGCACTGTGTACCGAGGAGACAAGAGCCAGCCTGGCAGGCCCACACCAGACGAGCTGGAGGCCGTGCGCAAGTACTTCCAGCTAGATGTCACCCTGGCTCAACTGTATCACCACTGGGGTTCTGTGGACTCCCACTTCCAAGAGGTGGCTCAGAAATTCCAAGGTGAGTACAGGACCTGGGCTGGGATTAGGGTTCTTGGACATAAGTTACTTCTCTATGACTCAGTTTTACCACCTGTAAAATGGTGATTATCTCTACTTCATAGGCTTTTATGAGGATTTAAGGAACTAATACATGTAAAGTGCTTAGAATAATGCCAGGCACATAGTAATTATTATTATCATTATTATTATCCTGCTAATAACCATAGTGAAGTGACAAGGATTTTGAGCCCATTCGTGGTTGTGTGACCTAGGGCAAGTGATTTCATTCATTCTGTAAATATATACAAAGCATCTGCTGTGCGACTGGGGATACACCAATGAACAAAACGGACCCAAATGCCGGTCCTCATGGAGCTTACATTGTGGTCTCTTTATCTGTGGAATGGGATGGTAACTCAGCCCTTACAAGACGCTATGAGGAATGAGAGGTCTGGTGTTGCCTTTTTTTTTTTTTTTTTTTTTTTTTTGAGACGGAGTCTCGCCAGGCTGGAGTGCGGTGGCGCGATCTCGGCTCACTGCAAGCTCCGCCTCCCGGGTTCAGGCCATTCTCCTGCCTCAGCCTCCCGAGCAGCTGGCGCCCGCCACCACGCCTGGCTAATTTTTTTTGTATTTTTAGTAGAGACGGGGTTTCACCGTGTTAGCCAGGATGGTCTCGATCTCCTGACCTCGTGATCCGCTTGCCTCGGCCTCCCAAAGTGCTGAGATTACAGGCGTGAGCCACCGCACCCGGCCTGGTGTTGCTTTCTCTAATGGTGCTGACTCTCATTCTCCTGGGATCATCCTGGAGTTTTGGTATCTAGAATCTGACCTGTGGGTGGGAAGAGGCCACACCCAACAGCAGGTACCTCTCCTACCTCCTGCATTTCTGGTCTCCAGGTGTGCGACTGCTGCGACAAGACCCCATCGAATGCCTTTTCTCTTTTATCTGTTCCTCCAACAACAACATCACCCGCATCACTGGCATGGTGGAGCGGCTGTGCCAGGCTTTTGGACCTCAGCTCATCCAGCTTGATAATGTCACCTACCATGGCTTCCCCAGCCTGCAGGCCCTGGCTGGTGAGTAGGTGGGTCCCCTGCCCCCAGGCCTCCATCAGCTTTGAAGATCTGTTCATTTTTCCCCTGGTTACCATCTCAAGGCTTCCTGCCTTACCAAACACTTCCCCAATCCAGAACTGCCCTGCCTGGTCTGATCAACTCCAGTTACTCATCCTCCCTATGCATCCTAAAATGTCAGCACCTCACTGGTCTGTGCTTTTTGCCTAGTGAGTTCAATGCCTCATCAGAAAAACATCTGTATACAATGTACAGTAGTTTGGGGTTAAGAGCATGTATTCTGGGGACAGACCCATGCCTGGTTTTGAACCCCAACTCTCACTTGAGCACATTATTTAGCATCTCTGTACTAAAGTTTCTTCATCTGTGAAATAGAATAATAGCACCTACCTATGCTGTTATTGGAGTTGTCACGAGAGTTGAATAAAGGAATATACATACTGCACCTAGCGCAGTGTTTGGCACACAGGAAGTATATGTAAAATTCAGGTTGGTATCAACTGGGTGCGGTGGCTCAGGCCTGTAATCCCAGCACTTTGGGAGGCCGAGGCAGGCGGATCACGGAGTCAGGAGATCAAGACCAGCCCGGCCAACATGGTGAAACGCCATCTCTACTAAAAATACAAAAATTAGCTGGGCGTGATGGCAGGCACCTGTAATCCCAGCTACCCCGGGGGGTGAGGCAGGAGAATTGCTTGAACCTGGCAGCAGGAGGCTCCAGTGAACCAAGATCACGCCAGTGCACTCCAGCCTGGTGACAGAGCGAGGTTCCATCTCAAACAAACAAAAAGAAACCTGGGCCGGGCACAGTGGCTCACACCAGTAATCCCAGCACTTTGGGAGGCCGAGGCGGGTGGATCACCTGAGGTCAGGAGTTAAAGACCAGACTGGCCAACCTGGTGAAACCCCATCTCTACTAAAAATTAGCTGGGCATGGTGGCGGGTGCCTGTAATCCCAGCCTCTCAGGAGGCTGAGGCGGGAGAATCACTTGAACCTGGGAAGCAGAGGTTGCAGTGAGCCGAGATCATGTCATTGCACTCCAGCTTGGGCAACAGGGCGAGACTCTGTCTCAAAGAAAAGGAAAAAAAAAAAGAAAAAGAAACCTGACCGAACACAGTGGCTCACGACTGTAATCTCAGCACTCTGGGAGGCCGAGATGGGCGGATGACGAGGTTAGGAGATCGAGACCATCCTGGCTAACATGGTGAAACCACATCTCTACTAAAAATACAAAAAAATAGCTGGGCATGGTGGCAGGCGCCTGTAGTCCCAGCTACTCTGGAGGCTGAGACAGGAGAATGGCGTGAACCTGGGAGGCAAAGCTTGCAGTGAGCCGAGATCGCACCACTGCACTCTAGCCTGGGCAACAGAGCGAGACTCCATCTCAAAAAAAAAAAAAAAAAAAAAAAAAGAAGCCTGTTCTTGAGTCTCAGCTCCTGGCTTAGTCATCAGACCTGAAGAAAGTCATTCACCTCTCCTGGCTTCTCTTAGCTTGTTTGTAGAATGGGAATAACAGATTCTATCTAGAAGGACTTTGTGGGTGAATAAAGCAATCATGAGGCAGTGTCATGTAATGGGTTAAGAGCATGGCGTTAGCCAAGTGTGGTAGCCCATGCCTATAATTTCAGCACTTTGGGAGCCCAAGGTGGGAGGATGGCTTGAGCCCAGGAGTTTGAGACCAGCCTGGACAACATAGTGAGACCTCATCTCTACAAAAAATAAACAAAATTAGCCAGGCATGGTGGCACAAGCCTGTAGTCTCAGCTACTCAGGAGGCTGAGGTGGGAGGATTGCTTGAGCCTAGGAGGTGAGGCTGTAGTGAACTGAGATTGTGCCACTGCATTCCAGCCTGGGTGACAGAGCAAGACCTTGTGTCAAAAAAAAAAGGAAAAACCACAGGTCTTGGTGTCCCAGACCTAGGTGCAAGATCTTATCTCCCCCATGTCCTTTAAGTAAGTTAACCTCTTCTAAGCCCTCATTTTCTCCACCTGTAAAATGGGAAAACAGCAGTACTGTCAGTGGGGTTCTTAGGAAACGTAAGCATGATAATATATCTGAAGCGTGTTGCCAGTGCTTGATGCCTAGCACTTAATCATAGAAGCTCTTGCTATATTTTGGTTATTTTTTTAGATCATGAATATGAACACTCTTTTGGAAAGATTAAGGAACTCGGTTGGGGAGCTCCTCCAGGGCAGCAAGTCCTCAGTCCCTGGACTAGACTTGGGCTCCAGGGGCCAATTCACAGTAGGTGCTCAGAAAACATGTGTAGAGGGACAGGATCCAGGCCTTAACCCTTTCCCTTGCACATAAAAGTGTCCACTATCCTATAGAGGGTGGGGAGGTAGGAGGGGTACTTAGGAAAAGCACTCTTGTCCCGAGGTGGAGAGCTCACTTACTAGCCCAAGGACAGGTAGAACTTAAAGATGCCTGATGCCTACTCTCCTCCTCACTCCCCACAGGGCCAGAGGTGGAGGCTCATCTCAGGAAGCTGGGCCTGGGCTACCGTGCCCGCTACGTGAGTGCCAGTGCCCGAGCCATCCTGGAAGAACAGGGCGGGCTAGCCTGGCTGCAGCAGCTACGAGAGGCCTCCTATGAGGAGGCCCACAAGGCCCTCTGTACCCTGCCGGGAGTGGGCACCAAGGTGAGGCCCCAGGGGGTAGGAGCTACCCTCTCCACTGACACTTAAGAGGAGAGCAGGAAATGAGCCAAGCCTGGGAGCTGGGTGGAGGCTTGGCTTCCGGAGGCAGAGCAGGAAGGAGAAAGGATATAAGTAGATGTTTTATGAGAGAAAAAAGCAGAGTGCAGAAAGAGTGGAAAGGATATAGCCCTTTGAATGAATTTCTAGAAAGACCATTTGTTCACATGCAACACATATATGCTGCTATATATATGCAGCAATTTCCAGAAGGAAATTGCAGGAAACTGAATAGTTTCCTTGGGGGAGACAAATGGGAAGATATTTCTCCTTTTCCTATTTTGTTTGTTTGTTTTGGTAGAAACAGGCTCTTAACAATGTTGCCTAGGCTGGTCTTAAACTCTTGCCCTCTAGCAGTGTTCCTGCTTTGCCCTCCCAAAGTGCTGGAATTACAGGGATGAGCCACTGCTCCCAGCCACATTTTGTTCCTTTCATAAAATTACATGTACTGACAAAACTTTTTTCTTGATGTCAATAGGGTTAACTGGCAATAAGACAATTGGAAATTAGGCATCTGTCTTTTTTTTTTTTTTTTTTTTTTTTTGAGACAGTCTTGCTTTGTCGCCAGGCTGAAGTGCAATGGCACAATCTCAGCTCACTGCAGCCTCCACCTCCTGGGTTCAAGCGATTCTCCTGCCTCAATCTCTCGAGTAGCTGGGATTACAGGCATGAGCCACCACACCCAGCTAATTTTTGTATTTTTAGTAGAGACGGGGTTTCACTATGTTGGACCAGGGTGGTCTCGATCTGACCTCGTGATCCACCCACCTCAACCTCCCAAAGTGCTGGGATTACAGTGTGAGCCACCGCACCCAGCCTTTTTTTTCCTTCATACTTCTCTGTAGTTTAAAAAATGAATTTTTGCTTAAAGAATTTTTTTTGATGGGCTTTGGACTATAGCCTAACATTAAATATTGTTTCTGCCTGTTCCCCAGCCATGTGACTTTGGCCAGGTCACTTCACCTTTCAGAGCCTCAGTTTTCTTGTCTGCAAAATGGGTGTGGTAATACCTTCTTCCCAGGTTGTAAGAACCTGGTAGCAGCTCTTACTACAGCAATTTCAGTGTATTCATAGGCCGGGCATGGTGGCTCATGCCTGTAATCCCAGCACTTTGGGAGGCCAAGGTGGGCGGATCACTTTAGGTCAGGAGTTCGAGACCAGGCTGGCCAACATGGTGAAACCCCATCTCTACTAAAAGCACAAAAATTAGCCACACGTGCTGGTGCATGCCTGTAATCCCAGTACTTGGGAGGCTGCGGTAGGAGAATTGCTTGAACCTGGGAGGCGGAGGTTGCCGTGAGCCGAGATTCCACCAGTGCACTCCAGCCTGGGCAACAGAGCAAGACTCCATCTCAAAAAAAAAAGCATATTCATAGATAGTATCTGTTGATTGAGAATATAGAACAGTAACCCCAGAGTGAAGGAGAAAGCAGCTGGCTTTGGGGTTATAAGCAAGATGCTGGCCGGATGCTGCCCTTCTTCCACAAGGGCTCATTTTCTGTGTCTGTCAAAGGTGGCTGACTGCATCTGCCTGATGGCCCTAGACAAGCCCCAGGCTGTGCCTGTGGATGTCCATATATGGCAGATTGCCCAACGTGACTACAGCTGGCACCCTACCACTTCCCAGGCGAAGGGACCAAGCCCCCAGAGCAACAAGGAACTGGGTGAGGAAAGTGGGCTGCAGGGGCTGGCAATGGGGTGGTATGGTAGAAACCTCTCTCTTAGTCATCTCTCCCTCATACCCTACCTCTCTTGATGGGTCACAGAAGGGGTCAGATAACTTAGTCTCATCACTTCTGATTTAGGAAACTTTTTCCGGAGCCTGTGGGGACCTTATGCTGGCTGGGCCCAAGCGGTGAGTGTACCTAGGTTTCCTCTCCTCCAGCTCAGACCCCATAGGACTTCTCCTCCAGCCCTGACCCAGCAGACTCTTCCACCACCACTGCCCCAGGTGGCCCTAAAGGACTCTCCAGCCACCCCTGTCCCAACCCCAGTGGACTCTCATTGCCTTCGGCCGTGTTCCCCAAGGACTCTTCTACCTCCCAGCACTGTCACTAGTCCCACCAGCCCTGACCCCAGTGTACCCTCCTCCCCACACCGACTCCACCCTCATACAGGTGCTGTTCAGTGCTGACCTGCACCAATCCCACCGTGCTCAGGAGCCACCAGCAAAGCGCAGAAAGGGTTCCAAAGGGCTGGAAGTCTAGATGGGGCACCCTGGACAAAGGAATTCCCCCAAGCCCCTTCCCCTCCATTCCCCACTTCTCTCTCCCCATCCCCACCCAGCCTCATGTTGGGGAGGGGCCTCCCTGTGACCACCTCAAGGGCCAGGCACCCCCAAATCAAGCAGTCAATTTGCACAACAAGGTGGGCTGGGGGCTATTGGGGGAGACAGCGCTAAGGATGGTTTTATCTTCTTCCCTTTATTACAAGAAGGAACAATAAAATAGAAATATTTGTATGGAAAATGCAGTGAGGAGTGGTAGGGAAGCAGGTGAGGAGGGGACAGGGCAGAGAAACTCCCAGTTCAGGGAGGGAAGGGGAGCAGGCTGCCCCCAAGCCCTCCCACGCAGGGGATCCTGACCCGAGGTCCAGGGCCCTAGAGCTGGTGGGGCAGTGTGGGGGACAGTTCTGGGCCCGGTTCCACGCAGCAGTCTCGACAGCAACAGCCAGTTGCCGGCCCTGCATGGGAAGAGAGAACAGAGCTGGCTGGAGGGGCAGGCCCTCCACTCCAGCCCAGGTGCCTCTCTGTGGACCACCCATGCCCTTCTGCAGAATCTGCTCCTCACCCCCAGCCACTGGTGTCAGCAGCTCCCCGTGGCTCGCCGTCTGCCCCTGCCCCTCCTGGCTGGTGCCTAGCTGCAGTTTCCTCATGTGCCGCACCACAGCCGTGGCATTGAAGGCTTGCTGTAGGGAGAGGGGAGAAAGGACTTTTGAGATAGTCAAGTCATGGGGCAGGGGTGGAGGTGCAGTGGGATTCTTGCAATTGTTCTGTTATTTTCATTCAGGAGTTATTTTATTGATTCCCCTAAAGGCCCCCAAAAACCTCTACAAGGCTTTATTATATATTCACACACACACATGCACGTATGTTAAATGTATGTGTATATATATAAATAGAAACATAACTCTATAATTCATATTAATATGTAATAGCAAACACTGTAGCACTGTATGCCAGGTACTGCTCTAAGCACTTTACATAGTAATTCATTTAATCTTCATGAAAGTCTTTGAGGTAGGTACTATTAATATAATTTTCAAAGGAGGAAACAGAGGCACAGAAAGCTGAAGTAACTTGCCTAGGTGTGTCTCTATTCAACATCTCCACCTAGGTGTCCCACACACCCCTCAAATTCGCCATGTCCAAAACTAAAACCATCCCCACAAAACATGTTTCTGTCCCTGTGATCACCATCTCAGTCATGGTACCGCCACCGTCCACTCTGTTCCCAGCTACAATCTTGGGCCAGCCTTTGACATCTCTTTCCCCCAACATCCATTGCATCATCATGTCTTGTCAGTTTCACCTCCTAAATGACTCCTGGATCAACCACTGTTCTCTACCCCTGTTGATACTACTGTGGTCCAAACCCTTACCCTCTTCTGCCTGTATCTCTGCCACAGCCTCCTAATGGGTCACCCAGTCTTTACTCCATGCCATTCTCTGCATCCTGAGAGCTCTTTATTTTTTTTGAGGTGGAGTCTCACTTTGTCACCCAGGCTGGAGTGCAGTGGCACGATCTCAGCTTACTGCAACCCCCATCTCCGAGGTTCAAGTAATTCTCCTACCTCAGCGCCCCAAGTAGCTGGGATTACAGGCACACACCACCATGTGTGGCTAATTCTTGTATTTTTAGTAGAGACAGGGTTTTGCCATGTTGGCCAGGCTGGTCTTGAACTCCTGACCTCAGGTGATCCGACCACCTCGGCCTCCCAGAGTGCTGGGATTACAGGTGTGAGCCACCATGCCTGGCCCTGAGAGCCCTTTCTATGTAGCAGATGCTTGCCTAAGATTCTTCTGGGCCTCCTCAGTGCCCTCAGGATCAAGTTGGTGCTCCTCTGTGGAATCTGAGGCCCTAAGAGGCCTGGCCCCTACCTGCTTCCCCAAATTGGGCTCCTGCCTCTCAGTCCCCTCAGCCCCTTCAGTCTGGCCAGGCTTAGCACTTGCACTTCCCGGAATGGCTGTAGACATTTTTCTGCTATGCCTTGCTAATTCCTACTTAACTGATAGCTCTATCAAGTCATCACCACCTTTATGACCTTCCCCGGACCCCCATAGGCTGGATCAGATGACTCCTGAAGAATTATAGACTTCTCCTCTAGACTTGGAGGTGAGGGACCCTCTCTGGAATAGAGAAGGTGTTGGGAGTGTTGAATGAATGAATGAAGTCCTTCAGTAAGGATCCCTAAGCAGTTACTGTGTGCCCAACTTGGTGCTAGGTGCTGTGTGAGCTGAGCCTGGGTAGGGATGGGGAGGAGTCCTGGGGAGGCTGGGACCAGAACTAGGGATATGGACTCACCTTCCACTTGCTCTTGGCAAAGTTCTTCTTGATCTGCTCACTCACCGACTGGTGGATATTCTTATCTAGAGCCGTATCTCCTGCAATCCTAGGATGGGGTTATGTGGTGGGTTGCCTATGAGAGCAGAGGCAGACCTGAGGGCCCCAAATCCCACCTCACCTCACAGCTTGTGTGAATTCTCACCATGGGTGCTGCAAGGCCTGCTCACAGGTGAATCTTTTCTCTGGGTCCTTCTCCATCAAGTGCCGGATGAAATCTTTGGCTAAACCCCCAAGACAAAAGCAAAGATAATGACAGCATGGTAGTGCCTGTGTACTCCCCAAGAGCGTATGCACTCCCTTAGGTCTGACCCAGCATCAAAACAAAACAAAGAGGCCAAATCAGTCCATGCCGCACCCCACCCAACCTGTGCTCTTCTTCAGACCCTCCCACCCCATGCCTTCCAGCTCTTTCCTGTCTCTCTCAAGAAAAACATGAGGCCAGGCACAGTGGCTCATGCCTGTAATCCCAGCATTTTGGGAGGCCGAGGCAGGTGGATCACGAGGTCAGGAGTTCAAGACCAGCCTGGCTGAGATGGTGAAACCTCGTTTCTACTAAAAATACAAAAAAATTAGCCAGGTGTGGTGGTGGGTGCCTGTAATCCCAGCTACCTGGGAGGCTGAGGCAGAGAATTGCTTGAACCTGGGAGGCGGAGGTTGCAGTGAGCCGAGATTGTGCCACTGCACTCCAGCCTGGGCAACAAAGCGAGATTGCATCTCAAAAAAAAAAAAGAAAAAGTTGTTCTTGACTAATTTCAGTGCATTCACACTGATAAATGATAGTAGCTTCACAGGTTTGCTTCTTAATAGGGGGCACAAAAGGAGGATGAAAATGTTTATGGTGGTGTTTTAGACATCAGGAAGTCAATAGGGAAGAGGTATTTTCAAATAGACTGTGTTTGAAGATTGAACAAATGCCTAGTTTCTCATTCTGGGAGCCAAGCAGAAGGAAGTACCCAGGGTAGGGTGTCTGGTCTTGAAGACAGCTCTTAGTGTGGCGCTGGAGAATCCGACAGAAGGAAGGCAGGAGGGAGACCGCCCCCAAAGCAGGTGAGGGAGGGACCAGAGGCGGGGCCCAGGGGAAAAAGGCAAAGCCCCAAATACCGGAGTCAGAGATGTCGTCCCAGTAAGGAGAGTCAAACTCGTACTCGGCCTTCAAAATCTGTTCAAAGAGTTTGGCATCATTCTCATCATAGAAGGGGGGATAACCGCAGAGCCTGGGCAGGGAGAAACTTATCCTCATTTCCACTTTCAGGTGCACCCATTGACTCCGGGGTGGAGGACTGGGGCAGTCTCAGGGGTCAGGCAGGACCCACGGAAGGAGTTCCCCCTTTATAAACTCTACCAGCCCTGTCTGCTCACTCCCATTCTAGCTATGTTGTCCTTTCTGTTCCTTGAATGTACCGCCATCTTGCCCTCCTCAGGGCCTTTGCACTTGCCATTGCCTCTGCCTATGCTACTCTTTCCTCACACCTCCAATGTCTGGCTCCCTCAGCACTTGGATATCCCCTCCACAGCGAGCCCTTCCCTGACCTCCCTACTGAAATGGCATCACCCCTATCTCCCTATTCCTCCTTGGTTTTTCTCCACAGTATGTATTTTTATCACCTGATGTTATTTTGTAGATTTATTTACTTGTTGATTGTCTTCTCTACTAGAAAGAAAGTCAGCTCCCAGGCCGGGCGCGGTGGCTCAAGCCTGTAATCCCAGCACTTTGGGAGGCCGAGGTGGGTGGATCACGAGGTCAGGAGATCAAGACCATCCTGGCTAACACGGGTGAAACCCCATCTCTACTAAAAATACAAAAAAAAATTAGCCGGGCGTGGTGGCAGGCGCCTGTAGTCCCAGCTACTCGGGAGGCTGAGGCAGGAGAATGGCGTGAACCCAGGAGGCGGAGCTTGCAGTGAGCCGAGATAGCGCCACTGCACTCCAGCCTGAGCGACAGAGCGAGACTCCACCTCAAAAAAAAAAAAAAAAAAAAAAAGAAAGTCAGCTCCCTGAGGGCAGGCACTTTGTCTGGTTTGTTCTGTGCTAAATTTACTCCAGTGCTTGCTTGGCACAGTGCTTGAAACATAGTATCTATTGAATGAAGTGATATTCATAATTGATTGGTGGAAGGAAGGGAAGAAGGGAAGAGAAGAAGGGAAGGGAAGCAGAGGGAGGGAGGGCAGAGGGAGGAAGAGAGGAAAGCAGGCCAGAGGACAAACTCTGGAGCCATAGCCTACCATGGCCAAGCCCCACTTACAGGATGTAGGCGATGACACCTATGGACCAGCAATCCACAGCCTTGCTG